TATTCACCACCACGATCACTCCATAGCACCTTTATTTTCTTACTAAGTTGATTTTCAACTTCATTCTTATAAAGAATGAATTTATCGATAGCTTCGTCTTTGCTTTTAAGCAAGTACACATAACAATATCTCGTGTTATCGTCAACAAAAGTAATAAAATACTTATTACTGTCTCGTGTTTGAATAGATTTCAAGTCACATACATCACTGTGGACTAGTCCCAATGGCTCAATACTTCTTTCAATACTATGAAACGAATACCTAGTAAGCTTAGATTCAACGCATGTCTCACATTTATGATTTGAATCGATTTGAAACTAGGCAAGTAATTTAGTTTGCTTAGTCTACGTAAAGCATTGTAATTTACGTGACCTAATCTACCATGCCACAGATTAGGAGATTCAGGCAAGTAAACAGAATGAGTTTTCTCATTACTCATAACAATTGAGGTTACAGCAATTACATTCAATTTAAATAGGCCATCAGTCATATAGTCTTTCCCAACATAAACTCCTATTTTGGTAATCACCAGCTTATCCGCCTCAAAGACCATGCGAAACCCATTCTTGCTCAGAAGAGACCCAGGGATCAGATTCTTGCGAATCTCTGGCACATACAACACATTAGTCAGAGTAAGCTCTTTGCCAGATGTCATCTTCAGGATCACCTTGCCTTTACCAAGCACTTCAGAAGTTGCAGAGTTTCCCATGAACAACTTTTCACCATTTGTAACTGGTGCAAAAGTAGTGAACATGCTCCTGTTGGAGCAGACATGACAAGTGGCCCCAGTGTCCAGCCACCACTCCTTTGGGTTAGACCCTACCAGGTTAACCTCACTAATCACCGTCGTGAGGTTTAGCTCAGACATTTCATTAGAGAAATGATCTCTCTCATTTCCAACCATATTAGCCTGAGGATGCTACTTATTATCCCTCTGAGGCTGACGACAGTCTGCTGATCGATGCCCAACTTTGTCACAATTGAAGCACTTTCCATTGAACTGGAACTTAGATTTCTTTCCTACCCCACCTGCAGGCTTCAACTGAGACCCTTTCGTAGCCTTTTTTTATCTTTTTAATTTTCGTTACCCTGTTTGGTTTTAAAGGAGTGAACTTTCTTAGTACCAGAACTTTGGCCGTACTCCAATACATTAGCCTTCTTAGAGTAAGAATTCTCTGACTTACGTTCAGGCCGTTTGTTATCCTCCTCAATGCGCAGCTTGATAATTAAATCCTCGAAAGACATCTCTTTCCTCTTATACTGCAAATAGCTTTTGAAAGCCTTCCACTGAGAAGGTAGCTTGTGAATAACAGTAGCCATCTATAGAGATTCTGACATGGTCAGACCCTCAGCATGTATTTCTTGTAAAAGCACTTGATACTCATGCACTTGGCTCACCACTAAACGTGAATCAACCATTTCGAAGTCCATACACCGACTGGCTAAGAATTTCTTAGATCCGACATCCTCGGTCTTGTATTTCTTTTTTAAGGACTCCCAGAGCTTCTTAGCAGACTTCTTTACTGCATATACGTGATACAGAGAATTCTATAGGCGATCATCCAAGACATAGTTGCAGCACAAAAAATCAGCACTTTTCCAAGCGTCCCAAGCTGCATGCCTATACACATCAATGTCGTTTTCAGCCACGATAGGGGCATCCTCATTGAGGAAACATGCAAGGCCCAACGTAGTGAGATAGAAAATCATCTTATTCTACCATGTCTTAAAATCAGTACCAGCAAATTTATTCGGTCGAATTGCATGATTCATCGAAAATGGAGCCGGAAACGATGGCAAATGTGCCGAAGCCGCAGCCCTAGGCACTGGCAAAGGTATTGTGCCAAACTGGATTGTCGAGGCCGCAGCCGAAAGCAAAGTTGGGTTCATTCCAATACGAGGAATCCTGCCTTCGATTATCTTATCAATGGGAGAAATGTCAGTCATGGTCTCGATAGGGTTGACAACGGTCATTGTAAGATTTGGTACACCGGTACCAACAGTGTTGCTTCCGTTGTTCACATCGTTATTTTCATGTGACGCCATTGAACAGGAACAAGCAACAAACAATTTGGAATAATTATAATTTTGTAAAGTTGTATATAAATTCGAGATCAAGTTATCTGTTCAGAAAAAAAACTGCAGAGTTGAAGAACAGATTATTTTGTCAAATTATTAACAACTTAACAATAATTTAAAATGAATTAGAAATCATGCAAAAATCATGAACTGGAAAAATTGACAAAAACAAATGAACAAAATTTGATTTACTAAAGTCAAATTCGATTTAAGGTTGTAGGTAAATATTAGAGAATCAAATCAAATCGAAGACCTGTGTATTCACAGTTTTCTTAAATCGAATTCGCCGCCTCACCGGAGTGCAAGAGGTTTTGATCGGTGTTCGATTCATAGGATACAATCGGTTGTCGGTTCACGCTGCAATACGTTAATCGCCTGCGAACTAGTTTTGATATACTTTATCTCACAAAGAAATTATAAGCACAATGAAGAGCTTGAAAGTGAGAAAAAGAAGATTGTTATTTAGAGGAAGAAGCTTGCATTTCACTTGTGATTTTCCAACCTAGAGAGACTCCTATTTATACCAATGGAGGAAAAACTAGCTCATTAATCAAGTAGTTAAATCATTCATTAACATGAAGGGACTTGAGTTATATAAGTTACAACATATGAAGAGATTTCTATTCCATATTTTTCATCACTTAACTTCTATTCAATACTTTTCATTCATTTCTAACAAAAGTGCCATAACTAGATAGAGAACATTTGAAATTACGTCATTATGGTGGGTGAATTGGCGATTGGACATGTTAATGGTCGTAGAAGCCTGAATGGCATCAATAAGTCCATCTTGACAATTTGATATGGAAATATGATCAATCTAAATATTCGTACCCAAAAATCCGTAATAAACTTTTCTCATCACTTTGTTCAATTCAATGCCTCATATGGAAGTTACTTGCGAACGTGCTTGTTGAGATTATCTATGACTTCTCTAGAATTAGGTTGAAAAGCCAGGCGAGCGGCCTTCTTGGCTTTATCTGCTCGCTTCTGCCAAACCCTATCAAAACCCGTATTAATTAATTAATTCTGATGTAAACATCACGATGGGGAAAAAGAAAAATGAAAACTACTGATCTATGCTTACTGTCCTCCATTACTGCACATGTACTTCTGGTTAAATTTTTATTTGTTTCTCTCTCTCTCTCTCATTTTATTTTTTATTTTTTAATATTTTCTACCTTATACAAAATGTAGACTCAGTAGAGTAATATATGAAAAAACAGGGCAATTTGAGTTGGGACAAGGGAGTTGTTCAATTACCACAAGACTGGGGACGGATCTAGGGCTGGGCTATTGCCTCTCCCTCCAGCCCAAATGCTAATTAAAAAGAATGATTTAAGTAAAAAAAAAAAAAAAAATTCTTTTTTTGGACATGTCAGCCATTCCCGAATATTTTCCTGGATCCGTCAAGTAGAAAATCTAACTAGAAAGAAAGGGAATAAGGAAGGATGAGAAGTTGAGATTGAAATATGTGGATCCTCTTTAATTTACATTACTGGTCACTTGTTTCTTTTCTTCAAACATATTATTTTTCTATTTTATGAGATAGTGCATTTAGTGAATTTCTAGTATATAATATTAGAGTGCACAAGACACTGCAGTGATCAGGGTTTTAGTTTTTTGTTTGGATCCTACTGTGTGTACAGACAGACTTTATACAGAAGCCTACCAGGACACACACATAGTGGGTGTGTGGAGGTTTTTTTGGCAATTTTTTATCCACGGTGGTCCCACACATGAGAGTAATATGGCCAAATTCTGTAAATAAATTTCTGTACAAATGGCATTCTTTGTTTTAGGTGATAGTGATATGATGCTGCATTCTACTTTAAAAAAAAAAAGGCATGCGAAATGTGAAACTAAAGTAAAAGATGGAAACTGATGGTTCTTCCTTCGGAACCGTGATTGAAGTGGAAAACGACCAAAATAATTTTCTTACTTGATCCGAAATTCATTAAGCAAGAACTATCGACAAGAAATATCAAAGAAATAAATTTTAATGAAATTTTATAGGGAGAAAATTTTTTAAATTAGTATGTAGAATGGCAAACTCGAAGGTTCTGTTCATATCCTTGACCGTGGTCATTCTTCCATGTGAGACGGCCTTCAAAAGAGTTGCGATAATTAGAAAGAAATATAGTATTAATTTAGACGAATTGCTATTTGATGAAAGAGAAAAATTTAAATTCGTTAGCCAGTAAGCAAAATCAAAATGAGATTGGTTAAAATTTCAAAAGAAGCCTTAAATATATGCAAGTGACTTACTGTAACATATAATAATTTCTTTTTATAGAATATATAGAAATTTCGTCTACTCTAATATCATGTTAAGCCCTTGTTTAGGCTCCATTAAATCAAATTTTGGGAAAAAAGTATTTTTTTTGAAGAATATTGTGTGGTTAAAAAAAAAATTTAATGTAATATTATTTTATTAGAAAACGTATGGTTGAAAAGAACAAAAAGAAAAAGATATTTTGAATAAAATGGTGCTATATATATATATATATATATATATATATATATATATATATATTCTCAAACGATTATTTGATATCATTTCAACTACACACTCTTTAATAAAATAACATTACGGCAAATTCAAAACTTTTCCTTATTTTTTAACCAAATATTTTCCATCAATAAACTGTTCAACAATACATATTTATGTGGCTCAAACAAGGGCTAAATAACCTCTTCTAAAAGTAAGTCATAACTTACGAAATCTTAAGTACACAAGTAACGCAACACAACTTTTGGTGATTCCAAAGAAAAAAGTTTGGAATAGAATCGTCCAAGATCATTCAAGAAAAGCTACTTCAAATTGGAATAGAATTTTAACAACCCTAATACCAAGCTACCAATTTGCTTAGAATAAATAGAAGGCGGGCATTTTTAACAGCACTATCATAGACAACTCATTTAAATTACAAATCAATTATTTTCTAAATACTATATCAGCGATGGACGGCAGAGTCAGAGGTCTTGATAAGAGAGAATCAAGTCTGTTGTTTAGAGAGATTGTGCCTCCTCATGGCTGGTCTGAGGATCAGAATAATCATTATTTGAAGATAACTCTTCCTGGTATCAGAAATTATATATTATTTACTTTTCAAATTTTCAGATTTTTAATTCAATTTCTCTAATCAATTTTTTATTATTTAAATATATATAAGATTTTAACTTTATTTTTGCATATCCTGTTTCATGTAGTTTGATTTTAATAAAAATAAGATTTTTAGTAGATTTTAATAAAAATTGATGGAATGTAGGTAGAAAAGTCGTAGATCCCATGAAATGTGTGATTAAAATTAATTGTTGACTTTGACTTAAAATTTAATCAAAATTTTAATTTGAATCAAACACGGACAATATGTTATGTAATTTATTTTCTAAAGAGTTTAAGGTTGAAAAATAAAGAAGAAAGCAACTTGAAATGGATACATAAATATATTTTCACCATTTAAAATGGTTCTTTAGTTTAAAGTACTAATTTTAATGTTTTTGCACAAAGTTTTCTTCAATCAACAATAAGAATTAAATAAATGTATAAACCTTTGTTGAGCGCTCAAGTTATTAATAATTCTTCTTCTGACAGTATCAAGATTTATACTTAACATAGTCGTAATGCCATTATTTTCGATTTCTTTGGCATTTATGGAAAAAAATTATAATATGAATTTGCGGAGTAAAATTTATTATCAAAATTGTAACCCATTTCCTTATTTCAGGTTTCAAACAACCGGATGTGATGCTTCAAATCGACAAGTATGGCCATCTCGTGGTACGTGGGGAGAGACAATTGAGTGGACACAAGTTTGTTTCCTTTTATGAAACTTTTAAACTGCCTCAAAATATAAATATTGAAGAGACCAGTGGAATATTTGAAGATGGTGAAATTTTTTGCATCACTCTTCCAAAGCTATCAGAATTAGAACAAAGACGAATGAGACCAGTACGAGATCAATACGAGAAACCCTACTCAACCAACAGGGATATTGGACAATCAATGAGAACACCTGAATCAAATGACTCCAATATTCGTAATAACCAGAGCCCGAAAATACCTGATGAATTCATTGATCCAGAAGTACAAAAGCCTATAGATAGTGATGCGAAGTCAAAGATGAAAATGTGGAGTTTCGTAGGGTTAATTGTAATTTTACTTATTGTTATTGTTGTTCCCATATCAATAAAGTTACACAAGTGATGAAGTTAAAGTTCAGCATAAGAAAATAATGATAATAATATTAATAATGTAACATATTACATATATACTCGTTATGGAAATAAATAGTTTGCATATTTAAATTGATACCTTTATAAATGATAATTTATATCTATATCTATGTATGCTATCTGTATATATAAATTCTGTACACTGAAAGGTTTTGTTTCGAATAAAATTTTAACCATATGTTGAATTATGCATTATACAAATTCATAAGTCGAACTAATTCTGGTAATAGATTCTGAAAATTGAGATTTGAATAGAAGTCACCTACTAGGAAAAACCAATACCCGGTTAGGTTCTTGGATTTGACGTGGAATGAACTATTGGTGTTTCGAAATTTACGACACTTTAACGAATTAAGTCTCGGTTTGACGAACTTTATGAATCAATTTATATACGTTCAAACTTTTTTCACTACCCATTTCAATGAACATACAAGTAGTATATATCCATTTATCTAAGATAAATTAAACCATTTATAAATTCTTTCCAAACAGATGCTGGCTTCAATTTTCTAACATGAATATTTATTTAACTTTCACTTATAATAAGAATTGTCTTTTGTTCATATCACTTTTAATATAAAAATCTCACTTGGAATAGAAATCAAAAGCACATTCTTTCCATTTTTTGTATGGTTATAAATAAGAGTACATGACCAATATCTCAATCTTACTTTTATATTGACGAGACTTTGAATTTTTCTTAATCTAGATGTAAGGGTAGAGCTCTGTGGAGTGAGCTTAATCCATACATTTGGAGTTGAACTCGTGTTCTTCAATTTATCTCTTGATTTTTCTTAACTTGATGATATCGACATGTCTAGGGTTTACATGTCAAGTCAATTCAAATGAAAAAAAAAAGGTAATTAAAACTAATAAGATAAATAAACGTGATATAACTCAAAGATATGAACATATAGGACCTGTTTGAGCCACATTATTCCAAAAAAATACATTCTTAAATAGTGATTTGATATCATTTCAACCACACATTTTTCAATAAAATAATATTACACACAGATAAAAAACTTTTTCTTATTTTTTAACCACACATTCTCATCAATACACTATTCAAAAATGTATTATTACCAAAATAATGTGGCTCAAACACCTCATAGAAAGCATTTCCAGAGCATCCTTGTCATCAGTAAAAGAAAACAAGTTGCCAAGTCTATTGCCATGTATCATGTATGTCTAAGATCGTAAAGGAAAATTGCACCATTCATCCCCAACTTATACAAAAATTTATAATGTCATCCCCAATCAAAAATTTTTGGCAGCACAGTCCTGTAACCTATAGATATAGATGCTCAGTTAATACTTTTCGTATATTTTGACCGTTAAATGGGCAACATATAAAACAAAAGGATGAAGCTTTATTCGTGTTTCCCTTTCCACTCGACTAACTTAACTTTATGTAGTATTATGATTAAAATACTAATTTTTTTTATTTTTTATTTTTTGAATACCTATTGTTTAAAATGAAGGGTAAGGTAGTCTAATAGGATGGAAAGCTATATTATTGGACACAAGCAAAGTAGAGAATAATCTCTTCCCTTCTAACCATTCTGGGCAGAGTTCAATAAGAAAAGTAAGGAACAATCACAGGCTAAATCTTGCAAGAAAAGCTAATCAAGCTGATCATTTACAAAATATACAAACTCAATTCATCATCATTCATCAGAAAACAGTATTTTGTTTCATCGATGGCAAATATTGTGAAGGAAGATGGAGGAAATGCAGAGAAGAAAAGCTCTTCTAATATTATATATGAAGAGCTTAAACCCTTATCTGATTGGGCAGAAGACGCAGATTGCCACTGTTTGCTCGTTGATCTTCCAGGTTTTCTTTGAATTTTTAGTTTATACTTAGTTTAGTGTTGACATGAATTGATGTATGCTAGTTAATATGGAATTTAACCTCTAAGTTTGGGATGGATTGGCGTGGTTCGTCTACCTTATATAGACAATAATTATAGATCCATAAACGAAGAAAGGCATGGGAAAAATGCATTGTGAATATTAATTGATAGACTACATTCTGTATGTGAATTTCATCAAAAACAAGGCTAATGGTCGATGTTCCTTTCCTGTATTATTAAGGGTTCAACAAGGAACAGGTGAGGGTTCAAGCTGATCATAAATCATACCACGTGAAAATTAGTGGAGAAAGGAAAGAGAGAGAAAATAAATACATTCGTTTCGAGCAATCTTATAAGGTGCCAGAGAATTCAATTATTGAAGAAACCAGTGCAAAGTTCGAAGACGAAATCCTATATGTAATAATTCCACTGAAAACAAGAGAATCAAAGGAAGGCCACGGTATCTCGAGTTCATCCAATGATGACGAAGATGATAGTCAGAACTTCGAGTCAAGTTGGGATACTGAAGATTTACATGAACACAACGATCAGTCTAAAGACAATGACGAGGGCAGTAGCTACAACTCTGAGAATAAACGAGTACTCGAAGAAGAAGAATTTCATGACACAAAAATGGAAACACAGAAATACGAAGGCAAACTATTGGAAGAAGTAAAAAAGAGGCTAATGAAGAACAAAAAGACTATATTAACAGCTGTTTTAGCATTTAGTCTGGGTATCTTATTCTCTCAGAAATTGCAGTCAAATGGACAAAGAATGAGCTTTGAATAATTAGCGTTTACATCGCTTATTATTGCTATAATATCTAAATTGTACTTCACAGCCTATATTAAATTCTGTCACATGTATGGAAGAAATAATATTTATGTACATTATGCGACAAGAATAGATTTAGCAAACAGGTAATAAACGGAAGTACAAATAAAGCTTGCTTCGATTAGAATATCTGAAAAGCAATCTGGAATTTAAGACAAATGATCCCTGAATAGAAGCCTGAAGAAGTCCATCGCGAGAAGCCTAGCTGCCAAATCAAGTGCACTTCGCCTGTTTATTCGAAGAATAGAACTCTGCTTATCCTCTCTCTATATATTTTTATCCAAAATAATCTTATATTATTAGTACGACGTCGATAATAATTGAAGTAAATTTGTGTGTGCAGTAAATCCTTTTTCTTAATTATATATATGTGAGTGTGTGTTTGTTCAACGGCTATAAAATTCCTTTTAAGCTAAGCTCGTGGGCCGAGCCGAGCTCGTCCCTGAGCAACAAGCTGAGCTCGTGGGTTAAAGAGTCGGCTCGACCCATTGCCATCACTAGACATGCCTATGCTTGATGCAAGTGGTGTTGCGATGGACATGTAATTAAATTCGTTCATCCCTGCACATAGGGCCCTCCGCGTTATTGCTTATATCGGTTTATCCAATGTTTCAACTTCAAATTATTGAGAATATAATTCTTTTTGGACTTGAATTATATAATAAATGATAGGATTAAAGGGTAGTTTCTGTTAAAGAATTTTTTGGCGAAATTATAAGCAGATTATTCGATACCTTTTTTAGGTCAAACTAATTACACAAATTTTACGTTAGCTTAAAGTTTGTTACTAATTGGAAAATTATATGTAACGGTGATATAATGCTGGGTAACATTTGACATGACCACAAAATATTGCTATTTTCTGAATCAAGTAACTCAACTCGTTATTAAATTATAATTTGATTAGCTAGCTTGTTTGTTTGAAAAATGTTAAAAATTTAAAAATAAATTGATTGAGACATCCTTGAAACGTAATTTCAGGAAAAGGTAGGCCGTCAATTTTGCCGTCGAATGCCAAATTGATATAAGAATTTACAAATTGATCCAAATAAGACAAGAAAGTTGATTTTTCGACAACTTAGAAATAGTAAAAATTGATCTATTCAATAAATAATGCCTATGTCTGGTAGCCACTTGGAACAAATTTTAAGAAAATTTATACCCGTTATACAGCAACATGACGTACAGTTGCATTTATTGACAAATTCAAGAGAAGTATTGCGGAAAAGTAATACCCAATGTACAGGGCATTATTCATAAGGCTTTTATAGGGTTACTTATTGTGTAAGGGCCCACATGTATTAAAAAACATTACTTGAACGCCACATATGTTTGAGGCCTAGCAAGGACTCGTGAAACAGGTCCCTGTAAGCCTATCAAGGTGGTTGTGGAAAATATCACAATGTAGGTAGTAATACTAAGATAAAAATCAACAAAGCATTATGGATTTTACCGAGTGTACAGGGGTCTGTTCCTACTGGCACTCACAGTTGGTGGGTCCCATGTGGGACCTGCTTGTATAAAAAAATGTCACCACCTCACCCATGTTGAAAGTACCTATGCACAAAACCCCTGACCCGCTTGTATAAAAAAATGCCACTCCCTCACCCATGTTGTAAGTACCTATTCACAAAACCCCTGTACCTCAAGCAAGGTTTAAGCATCGTAGTCCAACACTGTACTATATGTTAAATACAATTTTAATTTCTTTTCTTTTCATAATTTTGTTGATTTCTATATTGAATTTGTTTTATGAAATATGTCATTAGTGTATAAAGAAAAATTTGTCAAAAAAGGAAAACTTTATTAGAGCTGATGTCGAACAAATACAACGTTTTATTTTTGACAAGTTAGTCTGGTCTCATTCTGAGATTGGTATGACTAGTGATCCTACAACTCATATAACTGGGTAAATATGGCATTTTTCACTAATTTATTTTTTTCCAAAAATATTTCTAAATTGTTATTCAATTGTAAAAGTTTAGTTAACAATGAACTTTAAAAGTTATCCTAATTGTCATTAAGTATAATAAAATTTTAATTTATTCGGCACTTTATCACTCGTCGTTAAGCTTTGACTAACATATTCCTAATAATAATTTTTGATTCAGTCAAAGATATATAACAAATAAGCCCATCTCGAGCGTTTTCCCATGGCATTTTACTGCTGTACGAAGACGAGCGAAATTAAGCAATCAAAGTCAACTCATTCTTTATAATATGGTTGGTTAGATAGTTCAACTACAAAATAATGATGTTGTCGACGTAAAATCGATTATAGAATTTGGTTGGTCGGAGCGATCTTTAATAAAGATCTTATTTTCTATATTTAGAGAATTCGTCATTATTTTATAGAGTCTTAACAAACTCTATATATAAAAATAAAAATACAAATGAACGAGTGGGTTTAACACTTCGAACGGAGAACCAAACACACACTTTCTATAAAAATTTTAAAGAGAAATTTACAATATACACCATATATGTTAGAGTAATTAAATTGAACAAAACTGGATTTATAAATTTTCATTTTAAATAATAATTACAAAAGTCACCCTTTGTTAAAAATAAATAGTTGAACAAGTAAAATATCCTTAATTGAAATAAAAATCACGTCTGCAATATTTTATTATTTTTTTATTATTTAATTTTCATTAATTTTACTTAAAATGATTATTATTTTGGGTATTGGAAATTTATAAAAATTATTATGTTGTTTTCCTAAACTCTAAATACACCCTTCCATGCATTTTTTAGCTGGACTGCAGAGTTCGAATTCAGAATCTACCAAAACAATGGATGTTGTATCTTTCTTTATAGCACGGTAAAGATGTACACCTAAGGTACAATTTTGTTCCACATAGGAAATGCAAACAATATCTTTGTATTTAATTTAAAACAAAACAGTACACGGTATTATTGGTATTTCTATAAGCTAATGATGCCAACTGGCAATCTTATTATCAACTGATAAAGGAAACATTTTAATTGTTATTCTTACTTATAAGCGTTGCTTATAGGTGGGGAAGACTGATCAAACCACCATCCACCACCAAGTCATGTCCGGTGATAAATGCTGAGTCCTCGGAGGCGAGGAATAGCACAGCATCTGCTATATGCTCAACTGTCAGCATAATCCCCTTCAAGCTAGTAAATGGAACAAATAATTTTTCAAGTAAATCGCTAGTCAAGCCCGTCGAGCTCGATAGTCGGGTTGCTATAGCAGAAGGTGACACACTGTTCACCCTTATGCCGTGGACACCAAGTTGCTGGCTAGCTGATCGGACCAGACCAATCACAGCATACTTCGACATGGTATAGTCGGTCATATCCCCTCCTTTCCAATTACTGACCACCACACTAGCGGTGCACACGATGCTACCTCGGACCTTTTGTTCCACCATCGCACGTGCTGCATGCTTCACGCATGCGGCATTGCCACGTGCATTAACCTGAATCAAGTGATCCAATTGTGACAAGTCAAGGTCAAGTATTGCATAATCAGATTTTCCAATTGCTCCTGCATTGCTAAACATGATATCGAGTTGGCCATATTTTTGCACCGTCCAATCAACCATGGACTTCACTTGTTCTTCATCACTAACATCACAGTGCACATAACTGCACCGTTGTGAACCAATGGATTCAGCCACAGTTCGTCCTTTCTCATCGTGTATATCAGCAATCACAACTGCCCGTGCACCATGTTCGGCAAAAAGACGCGCAGTGGCCTCTCCAATGCCACTTGCACCACCCGTGACGATGGCTACTTTGCCATGCAACTTTTTCATTGGCGAAGCAGATTCAGAATGTGCCATGTTGTAGTAACAGAAATCGAAAATTAAGTTGATAATCTAGGGATTCACTTTTTCGGTGGTTCTATGATATGTTCAGAATTCATTACTTACTATTTATATAGTGTGTTACGGCTGGATTTCAATTTTGGCGAGCGACGGATTCTATCATCAAACTTAACAATGTAAACGTAGAATTCGAAAAAAGTCACAGGCTAAAAGTCCAAGGTTTAATAAGTCATAGGCCTTGATTCAACTCAAACAATTTCAAGAAATAGTTATCTACAATATCGGTCGTCCGATATTATCATAAACTCATAGTCAATGCGAATGATATGAGAACGTTGGTCTTAATTCTAATTAATACATCCGCCCTACTATATTCATATATTTTAATTGGTAATTATTATGCATATTCAATTTGAATCGCGGCTTGAACATTGTAGCTAAAATTGTTTTTTGTTGAATCAAAAGGGGTTGACAAGAACATTGAAAATCTCTTCGGATCCGTTTGATTGCAAAGATAGAATTTGGGTGGAAAGAAAACAAATTCCAGAGAATTGAATTGTCTAAAAATTAGTTTTCTAGGAATTGTAAATTATTGTTGTTGACACACTAAAAGTGCAGCCCAAATCAAACAGTCCAAGGAATGAAGCTCAATTAGGGAATCCCCAAGGAATGAAGCCCAATTAGGGAATCCCCAAATCTAATAACCCAAAGAATGAAGCTCAACTGGGAAATTCAGGATAAAGGCCCAAATAGAGTTACTAATGAATGCAGTGGAGGCCCACGAACACGGTAACACTATCGCCCAAATTTGCAAGACGCCCAAGATCTGAGCGAATGAAGTGTCTTACAGTCGCCCAGAGCTATGACCCTGTTCTCGCCCAAACCTTCGAATCGCCCATGATCTTAGCAAACATAAGATGTTATGATTATCCAGAAGTGCAGTTATTGAAGCAGTTATCAAGTAACATTATCACGTTCCATGATTCAAGGAGTTCAGTTGAAGACGGTTGAACGACAAAGAGTAGTGGCAACAGTTAGAGACGGCAATTCCACGACACGATAACCACCATAAAAGAAGTGGGTAGTTATAAAATAATCAAGCAGTTTCTAAGCGATTGATCACGAAGAAATCATCAAGGGAATATAAAAGGAAGAGAAGACATAGAGAAAAAGACCCCGAATCAAACACTCTCAAACAAAGATATGTAATTTCAATTTCTTAGTTTAGACTTAAACATTTCTTTTCAGTACTCGTGTACTTGCCCCTTGGAGGAATTCTGTTTAGTTCCAATTGTAAAATCATCACCAATAAAATACCCCTTTTTG